CTTATGATAGCTTGCAACATGTAAAAATTTCCTACAACTTAGTGCAAAAAAAAATCACAGGAAAAACACTAAAGATGTCTGATATTTGTCCAATCCCTTTGCAACAGCAAGAAATGCCTCTTCAGAACTAAAATACATGGTGAGCAAAAAACATCAAATGAGGTAGATCAGGGAACAGCGTTCTCTCTGGCTTTTCTCAGTACTATTGAAACAGGAAGAGCATAAAGTTCTTGCCTTAGTAGTCAACCATGACTTTTTTCTTTTTTTTTTCTTTTTTCTTTTTATTTTATCTTCAGAATTTTCTCAATTTATCCAAGTGAAAAAGAATTTTTCTGAGAAGTAATAGAAAATGCTATGCAAATAGAGGCAGGCACAGTGATTTCATGATAATGATATTTACTTAAAAGTGGCTATATCCCAGAAAAAAATCAGATCTATGAAGATAATGATAACTAAACCCAGCATTCTCTGAGAAGCCACCATACTGAAGCATTCTGCTCTAAGTACCTTTCATGTTTGCCTCATTTGATCCTTCCAACAGTCTGAACAGGTAGATAGTACACCATGCCCAGTCACATTTTTTWAAAAAAAAGTAGAGGCTCACATCATCTCATTGACTTGCCCAAAGAGACAGCACTTGCAAGAGCCAGTACAACAACCTGGGTCTGGCAGACTCTGGTGCCAAACTTTAGCACCTATTGATGCTTTGGTGGTGCCCCTGAAAGAATTTGAAAATAGGCCACCATTATTAAGTCACCTACATCAGAGGCTAGTTGATCAGTCTTCTGAAACACAAACCAAAATTCAGGACAGATTCAATTTTGAATATTGTGCCTGGAAAGAGCTGGAGGGTGGTGGAACTGTTTTCAGCACCCCAGAGGGAAGTGACCCATAGAGCATCACATGGCAAGTCAGGCACTGGGACAGGACTACACCCAGCCTTCCTGGTTCCTGGCCCATCGTTCTTTCCATCATTTTAAATTGCTTTCCCTGCTAAATGACATCAGCTGCACTTATCAATTACATAGCAGTGTTCTAGAAGAGAACATCAGCTGCTTTAAAGAAAACAACATAGCATATAATCTAGGCATGTGATAATGCCCAAATAAATGCATATAAAATTGGAAAAATCCAAATAAGCTCCAATTTTGAGTTAATGGTATAATACTGATGTCGATGGTATACATCATTTAGACAATGCCATTAAGTTAAATAAGAAATTAATGTAACAGGAAGATGAGCTAAAATATTTACTCACTTACTATGCGTAGAGTATAACATTAAAACAGCCAAAATGGGAGAGATGCATGATGTGGTGGGTYCTTTCCAAGACTAGAAGAGGTGGTGACAGAGTCACTTCTGAGCCAAGCTCTCCCCAGTGCTCATTGAACTTGTTTTCTACACCTAGGTCACTGCCACCATCTGCTCCTTCCACAAAGTTAGAACCCTCAGTGTGACCACTGATTCTCTGACCTCCAGCCTTCACATAATGGCTAAAAGTGTGGGCTCTGGTTTGGGACCTGAGTTTAAATCCAGACTCCCCCTTTTCTAGCAGCATGGCCATGAGCAAGGTACCTAACCTCTCTCTTAAGTCTTAGTTCCTTATAGTTTTCAGCCTCTCAAGACAGCTTTTAAGATTAAATGAGAAAGACAGATGTTTAGAGGTCCTTGGAATATATAGTTAAGACCCTGTGAGCATTAGACATGGTGATGTTGAAGGGATAGGGAGGAGAAGAGGAAGGGTCAGGCTCCCTTCCTTCTCTCCTGACCTATGGGTCACCAAAGCCTCTTCACTGTGTTCCCCAAACTTCTCTCAAACCTTCTCCTTCCATCCCCATTCCCCTAATTTAGGCTGAGATATTGCAACTCCTCCCGACTATGTATACTCAGTGACTCATGAATAACTTTCTAAAGGAGATCTGATCTTCCACCAGCATGGCCTAGAGGATGCAGAGAGTGGTTGGTGCCTGATGGCTTGTGATTATCTATGTATCTATCTAATTGCCTATTAGGCTCAAATTCCCCAAGGCAGGATTTGTGTCTGATTCAGGTTGAGAGTCCCCAGATTGCTGGCCTCATGGAGTCACTCAAATAAAATACATTGGTGTGTTTAGATCTTGTCATGGTTGGTCTTTCTGGTCATTCAGCCCAAAGGTAATTTTCTCAGCCAATCCAAATCATGTCCAATTATATCGGATTGAATTCTTCATTTGATCCTTATAACAGCCCTATGCGAAGGGATAATTGTCACGTGTAATTTGCCGGTGGCCTCAGCTAAAAAATAAAGGTCTTAAAAACATATCATCTTCCTGGTTGTCATTCTAGGGTTGTCCTTTCTGCTTTGTGGAGTGGATGTGGGTATTTTGTAAGTTCATAGTAACTCAGTCTCTCAGAGACCTTGCAGCCATTAGAACACTCAAAGGGTATTTCCACACTTCAGGGAAGGTTTGCATACCCCTCATCCAACTTTTGTTTTGAGAAGCAAGCTGTGGGTGATCAGAGTCCAGGATGGGACTGAGGAGACAGATTGTCACTGTTCAATTTTGGCATCACTTGTGGGGCCACACCTTTTCCTGAAGTCAACTTCCAGGATACAGGGACATTGAGTAGGGAAAGTTACTACAACCCTCTGTCCCCATGTCTAGATTCATCCAGAGTGACCATGTGGTACAGCAGATCTGGTGCAGTGTCCATCAGACTCTGCACAGTGTTTGAATGTAATGTCTGATTCATAAGATCAACTAACGTTTTGTCTGTGTCTGTGGTTGTCTAAAGTGATGCAAGTTTGTGTGATTTCCTTGTGATGATCCCATTCTAACTGAACTGGGGCTAAGGGTTGATGTGATAACCTGTTTCAGCTTTGGTGACTCTTGTTCATTTGTGAAATATCCTCTACACCCCATTGACAAGAGAGATTCACTCAACTGCCTACTTACCACCACCACCACCACCACCACCTCCATTAGAATGGACCCCCTCCACACTGCAGCCAAAGTTATAATCTGTAAACAGGTCTAAGCATGGCCCTCCCTTTCTTCAGACATCCAGTGGTTGGTTCCATAGGATAAGATTCTAATTCTTCACGCTGGCAAACAAGATTCTTAAATTCAGCTGAATTCTTCAGCCTCGTTCCATTCCTCCCAGCATCCCTACCCATTAGCCTTGTCATTCTGTGAGCTTTCTTTGCTCTTGATTTCTCTGCCTTGCACACATGACCCATGAGAATGAGCTCAGGCTGGGACATATTGGGCCTAGGGTTAGCAGGAATGAAACAGAAATTGGAAAAARGGAGGAGGGTGAGATGTAATCATACAGTGTAAAAATGAGTACTGATGGAAGACATTTTCTTTATTTTCATGTTAAAATGTTCATGGGGCAGGGGCAAGAAATATTTGAGGGAGGAGAAATATATAGCAAATATGGCATTTTGAAAGGCTAATTGGGTTTGGAAGAACATATTGAGATGATATTCTATTATTGTCAGAAATAATGCTTTACAGAGAGGCTATTTGTGAAGCAAGACCAGTTATTATTGATGGATTGATGTGCACATAGGAATATGGAAGCAATAATGCAGAATACAGTGCCTGCAGAAAGATGTCAATCAAACATGAAATTAGAGGAGCAAGAATGAATGAACCCCTTTTGATTTGACCCTGCCTACAGGATTTGACCTGTAGGACCCACATAAACAGATCCAGGATTATTTAACCAAGTCTAAAGTGTGCTGTGGATAGTTTGATGATCACATTGTCCCTCAGAATGGTCTGATAATTACTCTTAGAATTCAAGAACCAAGACAAGCCTGTCACTCAGCAAGCATATGTCTCAAGTTTTAAAATAACATTCTAATTTCAGCATCTTTCTGTATCCCCACAACTCAGTGAATAATCTTGTAATCCCAATATTTCACCATTGAAACTATASTCTACTTACTTCCCATGGAAATGTGACAAAATTCTTTGCTCATACCATGAGTCCCAATTTGAGGTTTGGGAAACATGATGGAGAGCCCTATGGAATGAGCTCCAGAAATAGAGAAAGATATTTTATGAAGATTATTCCATTCTGCTTCAAAGTTTGATTTTTTTTTCAATGCAAAATAAAATTTTCCCAACAGGAACATGGGGGAGGGAGTGGAAAAAGCCAAAAGATCTTAAATGAGTAATGGAAATTCTTTGGGGAGATAATTCAGGAAAGACAGAGTTCCTTTAAACAAGACTAACTGTACAAAGAGCACTCCATTATTTGGAAGCTTACCATCTTCTTTGTTGGTGTTTCTGGCCTTTTGCTCCAGGAAAAGCACTTTGGGGTAATCAAGCAAAATTCCTGCTGCATGACTCTCCAGAGCCAGTTATCAGTAAAGATTCAGATCTCAGACTATTTAATTTCCTAAGAAATTAAATAGTCAGGGAACACGACTTTGGGGTGGGATACTTTGCTATGTACTTGTAGCGTCTATAATTTGGAACAGAAGATTTGGAGGCCAACCTCAATTTTAAGTGTGGTACTTAAAAAAAAAAAGATTCCAAAAAAATTCTTCATTTGAAATGTACAGCATGGAGCATCCTTGGCCTCCCATAGTCCAGTAAAGATTCTCAGAACAACTTCACTGTCCAACCTGTAAAAAATAGATTTCTATCCCCTATCTCTTCTCTGTTCTTTTCCCTTGTGTTATTTTTCTCCTGATCACTTAACCACCACCAAATGTACTGTTTTATTTACTTCTTTATTGTCTGCCGCCCTCACCCTGCCCTTGGAATGTATATTGTCACAATAGCAAAAAAAAAAAAAAAAAAAGACAGTTTTTACCCAGTGTAGGTGTTCTGTGAATATCTGTTGAGTGACAGCAAGCATGAACTCGCTTATCTGCCAGTGCAAGGGCAGCAGGAATATCAGTTTGAGTCCTGCCAGTAGATCTTCAGTTGTCCCTCTCCCTTGGTCTTCTGGGTGCTTCTGGTACATGCTACAAGAATCTCTTTTGTCTTACCTCTTTGCAGAGCATTGGCTGTGACGACTACCTAGGCTCCGATAAAGTCGTGGACAAATGCGGGGTATGCGGAGGCGATAACACGGGCTGCCAGGTGGTGTCTGGGGTGTTTAAGCATGCCCTTACCAGCCTGGGATACCACCGAGTTGTGGAGATTCCCCAAGGAGCCACAAAAATCAACATCACCGAGATGCACAAAAGCAACAACTACTTGGGTAAGTTTGGTCTTTTTCCAGAGGAAATCATCTGTCACTGCAGGGTTGAAATTTTCCTTCCAGGGTTCTGAGATGGACATGGTGGTATCCGGAGGCCTTGGGACATTTAGAAAGTTCCACTGGGGAACCCCCAAGCACCACCTGGCCTTCCCCCAAATGAGAAAGAGAGGGAAAATCCTTCTTGCAAGTAAATGTAGGACATAGATATATTTAAACCAGCCGTTGTTCCACCTGAGAGAAACATGGTAATGACTACACTGACCCTCTGAGATGGGAAGGTCTCTTTATAGAACCAGTAGGTCTGCTGGTCTTCATTCTGTTGGGGAGTGAGGTGGCCAGAGGCAGTTGAAGATGCTGGAGGTCTAAAGCCGATGTCCTTCTCTTCTTTCTTTCTGCTTCATGGGCCATTAGTGGTATGTGTATCTTCCGGACAGCTGTAGAACCCTTCAGCAATCATGTTGAGCAATATCATCAATATTGAAGGCTGTTTTTAATCTACTCTCCTGCCAAAGGAGATCTTCATTGATATTTACTTTCAGGTTTCCAGGCCATTTACATTCCATCTGGTACAAACCAGTCATAAGAATTTGATTTTGCTGATTTCCAATTCGTGTAAGCATGTACAAATCAGTTAAAGAGATAATATAAGGAAGCCATTTTTAAAGTCCTTAAGTGAAGAGCAATATTTTTTATTTTTAATTATTCATTGATTAGGAATTTATCTAACACAAACTATGTGCCAGGCAATATTCTTAAGGTTCTCCGTGTATAAAATCTTGAACCCTCTCAACATCCCTAGGGCATAGGATCTCTTCCCAGCCCCATTTTACAGATAAGGAAAAACACACAGGTAGGTTATTGCAACTTGCCAAGCTCACACAACCAGAAAGAAGTGGAGCTGGGATTTGAACCCAAGCAGTCCAGGTAGGGTAGTCTAAAAGATAACACCCAAGAGCAGTTTCAGCATACAATATTGATTGCATCCATTGAAAGACCATTAATTTTTCAACTTTCAAGTACCAGAATCACCCCAGAAGATAATTCCAGACCCAGGACCTCCACCTTATTCTGCAGTTCTTCCTTCCCCGCCCAGCCAAATATAGACAAAGCTAACTCCACTTGATTTTATTGGCTGGAGGAGGAAGGATGGCAGATGTGTCTCTGAGACAAACCCAATTAAAGCAGAAAACTGTTATATTTGCTCTGGCAAATCCAGGAGCCACCAAAATGGCAGAATGCCTAGTTTCCCAGTGAGTGGTTCATATGTTATTTTTAATAGCAAGAGAAAAAAAATACTCATTTCTTTTGTACTTTTTTTTTTATGAGATCATATCTCAGTAAACATCCTGTCTCCTAGAACGGAAATTGTCCTTCCTGGGATGATTTGAAGTGCGATTGTATTCAAATGTTCCCACAAACAATGCCACTTTTGATTAGCTTTGTGTGTGATAGCAGATTTTCCCTGGCTGTACTTGGTCCTATTCCATAAGCACTTTTCGGGTAGTATACTTGAAGACAAAATAGATATTCTGAGTGACTATCCACTAGGTGCCTGAACGGAAACAGCTCTCAGGGCCTTGGTGTTTCCATCTGGAGTATGGGAATCAGAATCTTAACCTCATTAGCAGTCGTGGGAATCAGTAGGATAACAGATGCTCAACAGAGCCCCTGACACTTGTTAAGCAGTCGGCACTGCCTTTCTTTTGTCTCAGCCCCTGTCAGGACGTCAAAACTTCATAAAATACAAATTCCCTCTCCCCATAAAAGAGATGAAGAAGGGGAAAAGAAAGAATGGAAGTAGCAATAGGAATGGGAGGGTGATTCAGGAAGTCAGGTTAAACTTTCCAAGCCCTTAGACCAGTGGGATGCACAAGAAAGCCACAGTGTCCATGACAGAGTTACATGATGCCACATGGGCTAGGAGAGAGCGGAAACGGCAGGCGGACTCTAGAGAAAGGAGACTCCGGGGTGACGAATGGAGCTTCCATTCTAACACCATGTCACCCAGGAGGCTCTGTTGAACTTACATCACCTGGATGCACCTGCAAATTGCATTTTCTGCAAAATTTGACTTCATACACAACATTGTCTCATCCATGTGAATAAGTTTATTCTATAGAATAGGCAATCTAAAGGATATTAATTGTTCACATTTTATATTGTCACTTTTAAAAATTGCACGACTTTTAACAAGTTTTTTCAGTTTTCCTGTTGTTTTCCAGAATTATCTTTAGTTATTTGTAAAAGCATTCAAACTTTCCTTGTGAACTAGCTGATATTCTTTAGTGACTGAATCCCTAAACTTGATAGCAATAGAAAATAGATTCCCATAAAAACAGTCCGACTTGTATCTTGTATTTTTAGTGCTAGAGATATAGGTATAATCATCTCATTTTTAAGAGATTTCTAAATTTTTCAATATTTAAATAACTTACCCTACTCATGTGGATAATGATAGTGCTCAAGTGCTCATACCATACACCATATTGAAGATATATAAATCTCTTCAATATATATATATATGATACTTTAGTCTCCAAAGCAATTTCAGGTGTATCTTCTGCCTTTTCAAACTGAACATTGTTTACTTTGCTTGATTAAAAAAGAATTAGGAGTTACTAAAATTACAATTATAGAGTTTGGGTATGAAAACTGTAATTTAAAAATCAAAAACAAAATAGAAGGAGGCATGTACATCAGAGATCTTGGCTTATATGTTAATAGCAATGGCACATTAAACTTTACTTTGAGTTTGGCCAACAAAATCAGACCTGCCAGCCTCAGATTCTGGTCCCTGCCCTATTATAGGAGGACTGGCCACACAGAGCTGGAGGAGGTGGTCAGCTCATTATGTCACGATGTTACTGTTTTCTCTGAGCAAATCTGGCATTTAGTGGCATGCACATTTTAGGAGATAGAATGTTTAATCATCTCATTTGAGCTTCAAAATTCTGTGTTTATTTGAATTTGTTTACATCCTCCAAAATTCAGACTGTTTAATGAGTTCTGGATTCTAGAACTCTCTTTTTCTGTTGTTAAGCTATGAATTCTCCCTCTGTGAATTATTCTCAATCCTGCTATTTGGGGGGAAAAGTTGAATCTGATTATTTAAATGATTGACAGTTTATATTACTTTTTTCTTCCTTAATAAGATGTTTTAAAATTATTTTAGCTGAACTATCCAAGTTTGACATAGTTCAGTCAGTTCAGTTTACTAATGTCATTATGCAACAGTTAAGAAATCAGACATGAAAGCATACCAAGCAGAAATTGATTATTCAGAACATTACCACCTGCCAACATGTTACATTGTCATAAAGTTGTAGACTTGGAAGGAATTTTTGAAGGTCTGTAAGCTTTTAAAAATAAATTGACAATACATTTACTTTTAAGCCTGTTCTCATAAAATTTTTAAACAATAAAAATGTTCAGCATTTTAAAAGGAAGAAGTATCATGGATCACCTATTATTTTCAAACTTTATTAGGTGAGCAGCTTTCTATATGGGGAAAGATTACAAGGTTTAAATAATGTGGTGTCTTAAGTCTGTTTGACAATTCATCCCAAGAAATTTTTTTTCATGTGTGTTGTTAAATTTTCAAATGATACAGCCAATCTAGAGCAAAAAGATAAAATCCCTCTTGCTGGGAATCCTACACTTGTTCTCTGTCCTCAACTGTAAAGACAAAGGTAAATAGCTACTGTTAGCAGCTCAGTGTGTCTTATCCAGCCCTTGATACAAATGAAAATATATATTTTCTAAAGTTGATATTATTATACCTATTTTTTTAAATTGCTACATTGATATCTTGGGTATCTTTTCATATCAATACATATAAAGCTGATTCATTGTTGTTGTTTTTTGTTTTGTTTTGTTTTGTTTTTGAGTGCAGAGTATTCTATATAGAAAATGTAATATAATGTATTTAGGTTCTTCTCTATTGGGGGATGTTTAGATTGTCTTCAGTTTTCTAATATTGCAAAAATATTTTAGTTTGGGACTCAAGATGGCAGGCTGAACACATGAGTGTTTCTTCCCCTTCTCCCAAGATTCCATCAAAATAAGACTAAAGGAAAAAAAATAGAGAGATATATAACCTATAATCAGCAGGCTGCCCAGAAAGGTGGCATCTATGCACAAATGATTGTAACAAATTTCTGAAATTCAGAAAGCAGATAGATGGACAAAGGTTCATTAACAGGACAGGGCCGTGGCATCACAGGCTCAGTGAGCAGAGGGCATTGTGCTGAGGCGGGACCTGTGGGACAGAGCTTAGGAGCCACTGAGCCTGGGAGGAAGGAGGTAATGTGGAAGGATCCATAAGCTGAAACAATTAAGCCATACCAAACTTTGATTTCTTCTGAAAAAAACTAAAGATGAGACAGGCACCCACACACACACAAAACCACACACACACACACACTCTCTCTCTCTCTCTCTCTCTCTCTCTCTCTCTCTCTCTCTCTCTCTCTCACACACACACACACACACATATTCAGAATGTGGCATTTACCTCCTCATCAAGAAACTGAAGGAAGTAGGGCATGGGTGAGGAGTTGATGCTCCAAGTACAGACGTCAGTACTGGTTCTGGAATTGGAAAAAGGAGCCGTTACGATTGGGACCCCGTTTCCTCACTCTCTGGAACTTGGCCTGCTAACAAGGCCTAATAATGGAGTGAGGGGGAAGTTGTCAGGCAGCCTTCTCATGGTTCTTGTCTTACATATCAGTGGATAACTGAAAATAGCATGAATGAACAACTAAGGGTCATTAGACATTTTTTTTAAAGCCTATAGAATGAACAAGAAAACCCAAGGTAAATAACTGGAAAAGTTGTTTCTGGAAGAAACAGTGAGTTCTTGGAGAAGAAAAGTTAAAGAAAGGTTCTCTAACACGAAATGCTTCCATAAATATCTTAATACGTATATCCTTTCATACTTACATAAATATTTCTGTAGGATAGATTCCTAGAAGAAGAATTTGCAGGTCAAATGGCACACA